TTAAAAATAGTTTCAGTCATTGTGTCGCTGAAATTAGACACATGTATAACTTTTCCCTTATTTCTAATTATGGAATCTGAAATAAATTCTCTTCTAGCCTGCTGCAATTTACCCCTTCTAAAATGTGTGAGAATTAAGAGAGTTAAGACACTCCAAAACAAGGTCCAGAACATACCATGTATAGATTGAGGTCCTAGACCTGTGCATAAATACCTAAGAGACAAAGGCTAAACCAGGCAGAACTATTCATTTTAGAAATATCTCATTACTCAAGTAGAAAGGACAGTTAATCACTTTGTTTCTGTTTCCCTGGGAAACTGTTCCATTAATGGCATTTCCCACAAGAAAAATTAATACTTTATCAATATTTATTTTAAATTAAATCTAATTGTTATCATATATATGCACTTCACAATTGTGATAAAAGAGTGGGAAGGAGTAAATATTTGTGGAAACTTTAAATCTTCAAAAAATAACACAAAAGCATGGAACACTTTCATGTACAAGTCACACATCAGTTTTTGAGGAGAAACAAAGTACACTGCAATATGCTAAGAGTTTTGAAAGAAGTGATAATTTTTATCCAAGCTTGGGAACAAAGGAAGTTGCAAAAGAAAGATTCCTCAGTGAACACAAAAGATAAAGAAGTTGTATCACCAGATGAAGTATAAGAAGAGAGTTACTTTCCCTGCTCAGCAATTACTATTTTCCCCTTCACAGAAGTCCTGTAATGGCTTACTGGAGATTATCAAAACCCCTAGTAAGAAATACTTTAAAAATATGTATCAATTAATGCATAAAAAGAATTGTCAATCAGAGACGCACTCTATTATTTTTTTCATGTTTTACATTCTGAAGTAGCATTTTCCCAAATAGTGATGCATGGATTTTAAATGTCAGTATTCATTTATTATTAAACTATATTCTAAATATAACTTTGCCAGTTGTTTTAAATTACAACCTATTCTGCATGTTTCATTTTTCTGTAAGTGATAAGTACAGCTGACTATACATGTATATCTTATAAAAATATGGAAACAAATGGAATATTAAAATGACTATGAAATTATATATGTTCAGACCACTTACAATTGCTGCCTGAAAAGGCCATATCAGATATACTCAGTAGACTGTGTTGTAGGCTTTGTAATTAGACAAGTGACACAAAGAACAAGCATACTTTAAATTGGTTTATGATATCTAATAATGATGGCTTTGTTGATCCCACTTACTCCTCTCCAAAACCTGTTTGATTTTTGCTTTGCTGATCCTACAGCTGATCAACACCATACAGTTTTTCCTCAGTTAAGAGGCTCACCTTTTCTTTACTTTAAATGCTCTTCTGTGTGGTCTTATGGTTCTGCACATTTGAAGTACCTTAACGCATGTTTGACTTATTCTCAGGAAGCATAAAAATGCTGAAGAACACTTACAGATGCCCATAAAATGTTCCCTTACAGAAAAGTCACTTCATGTCCAAGAGAGTTAGATTTATTTGTCCATCCATACCCCTGAGGTTATGGACAACATACTGAAATCTCTTAGGAAAAGCCTAGCTGCTTAACAGAAAACTAAGCAGTGAACAAAAGACAACACTTTGACTAGAAATAAATCTTGCCTAACTGGGAAAATGTACCCAATGAGTGTAATTTCTTCCAAGGACAGAAATGTAAACTAACTGTCAGACAAACAGTTGTCTCAGGAATCCTTGTCTTGAGGCAATTCTCGTAGGGTAGCTGAACTGTGGGAGAGAAGTATTGGATGTGCTCTACAGCAATTATCTCCTGTTAATGTTAAAGAAAGCAGCATTAAGGTCTTCCTCTTTCATGGACAGCAGTGCCCTAGTGGTGGCTACCTCAGATCTTAACATGATCTGAGAAATATCTGTACATGAAAGAGAAGGACAGCCCATCCCTTATTTAGCTAATTAAGCAGAAAACCAGTATTAGCAGCTTTGAGAAAATCAAAGACAAATGTAAGCATCTGGTATTTTCCACTCATCCTTTAACTTGGGCTTTCTTGACATATGAGCTGTCTTTTGGCTGATTTCCACTACAAGCAGAGAACTTGCACTACAGGAGAAGTCAGAAGAGTCCTCACTTTCCCACCATCCCTCTTCACTCTCCCAAAAACACAGTGATAAGGCCAGAGGAATCACTTTGGGCATCCCAGGCATAGCAGGACATGTGACTCTCTCCTAAAAAAATTAAAGTATATACAGTTGCAATATTTTTAACATATTTTCCCTACACATCATATTTCTTGGGGATTCTTGATGGCCCTTTTGGCAACTTCTTTTCTTGCTGCCTCCTCTGCTACAAAGACTCTTTTCCTTGTCAATCCTGGTTGCATTTGTGGAGAAAAAAAAAGGTAGCCAAGACTGCCAACAAATCAGTGAAAGAAGAAAAAAGAATCTCCCTTCCTCCTCAAATATTTTCATGTATCTGCCTTCTGTAAACACTATGTTCCCACATTTACCAGGGGTTGCAATCGTTACTGAAAAGCTCATGTTATTCATCTTCAGAATGATGGTGATTGAAAAGCAGAGTCTCTTAACTGAGCTTATTTGGTTTCACTGTATCAGGAACACAAATTTAACAGTATCTGATGCCCAAAATAATTAAAACCTGTTTCTTGAATATGATGAATTGAGGTCTTAGACACATTCCCTCTGAACAGTTCCAGCTTTGGTTCAAGCAAGACTACAGTGAAATGTAGTTTGGGGTCTCATATATAACACCAGAAAAAAAAAAAAAATCACAGCAATATAAATTATAATTTGATCTCCAATGTAGACAGTTTAATAGACCATGATTTAGCAAAGCATTTAAGCAAATGTTTAAATCCCATTGATTTAAGTGGGATTTAAGTACATATTAAGTACTTATTTGAATTGAGGCCATACTGTGAAGGGAGTCTTAGAGCAAGGAAAGCACAGTAGGCTTTGGGGATCTTTATTTGCAGCTCAGATGTTTAACTTAGCAAATTTGGCTTGGGAACCTGTATAATGCAAAATGAGCCAAGGACAGACTGCAAGAACATTTGGCTGCCCAGGGTCACTTCAGGATAATGCAACATAGGGATATAGGGTGGATTTAGTTTCTAGAATACTTCTATCTTGTAATTTACCACATGTAATGTATAATTAAGGTGGTTTGCCTTAATGCGTCATTCAGCACTTCATCGTACATACAGATTTCTGATGCTGCCAAATTTCTTGTGCTCTATTTTATTCCTATCCTGTTTTTCCCTCCCACTTTTAACCCCAACCTTATGGTTACGGGGTGAGGAGGAGGAATATGACATTTGCTGTTTGTCAGTCAACTCTCACTGCATAACTAGGAACATAAAATGCTAAAAGCAACAAGTGCATCATCCTGGAATATGAAGATGTGGTTCTCCAAGAAGGGATCAAACCAGGCATTTCATCACAGTTAAAGGAGCTCTGTTAAAATTATATAATTTCTCTCATAGGTGTCCTTGAGTGATATCAAAACTATGTTTAGTCTATATGTACTTTCCTAAATATTGTAGCTGTCACAAAGTATTATATTGCCTATAGGATGACTTATTTCATTACCTTTTCTTCTTGACTCCAGATATAAGTTATTTAACTCTACTGACACTACTGCAGATGGTTGAACTATTTCTATTTACCCTGCAGAGTAGGAGTTAGCTTTTAGGGACATTAATAATTCTTTCTTTCTTTCTTTTTCAGAATAAGCCCCTTTCTGGGGAGGTCTGGGAAGCTTGGTTTTCTGCATCTAATAATAGCCCAACAGGAAACTGAACATCATATCATATCACTGCCATTTGTAGTGAAATAAAGACTCAAGGTTTTATGAAATTACTTATTCATATTCAAAAACACATTGAGATAAATTCTTATTTAGCAAGATGCTCTGAGATTTATTAGAAACCTTCTTCTTGGTACTATCTTCATGGGAGGTCCAAATTAAAACATGACCAGATTTTAGAACCACTTCTAAAAAATTCCCCATAATTTCATTAGTCAGGCTTGTTTATAATAAGCATTTAGGTATATAGATAATGCTGTCAAAACCAATAATATCCATAATTCCATAAATAAATAGTAAGGATTACTTTCCGTTAGACAAGAACAAGAGCAGTGTTTCCCAGCATTTAGCTTGGTGTGGGGAAATTATCCTAACAAAACCTAATACTTGATTTATAGATAAAATTTGCACATTTGTGCTGAACAAATTTACAATAGTGCTAGAAGTTAATCTTACCTTTCCTGACTCCTGCCAGGTGTGAAACTTTCAGAAAACCAAGTTTCATTCCAGTGAAGATACGAGTCCATTTACAGTACAGGCACTACAATTGAAGTACATACTATTATTCACCCAGCTCAAAAACATCTCTCTAAACCAGTGCAAGACCAATTTAATTGCACAATAAACTGACTTTTCTGTCATTGTGCTTATTTCTGCTGAGAAAGTTGCATTAACCAGTGAAAATCCTGGCCTTTACAGGTGCAAGTGGAGATGGGTACACATTAATCTAAGCATATAAACAATCAACCCTACTTGTTCTCACCTGAGTGTGTGCAAAATACTCTAAATCCATTACTTAGACTTGTTTTGACTTCTTAGCACTGTGTTAATCCCAGCTTGAAATTTAACAACAGTCTCTGAACTGAGGCTGAAAGTGTTTCTCATGATTAGCAGAGAAATTAAGAAAATACTTAGCCTATTAAAATGAGCATAGTCAGAAATGTGATTACACAGTGAATGAATCATTCATTTCACAGTGAGTTAAACAAAGTGGGTTGGTGGTTCGTGCTCTGTGAGTGTATTACCTGACATTTCATACAGTGTGACAGAAAACAGAGGAAAAAATAACTAAGGTTTATCAGCAACATTCAGAACATTATGACTACTTAAAGAATGGTCAGTATTTCCACTGTAAACACTTATTCCAAAGCAAATTTTTGCACTACCCAGCATGTAAGTATTTACAATGGAAAGAGGCTTCATTTTAATTCATTCTCAATCATTCATTCTCATTTACCTCCTTAGTTGATTCAAATCTTTTTGATAGTAGTATAACATGGCTACAAAAAACTTCTGTGGAATAAGATTCACTCGCAAACCCTCCAAACAGCCTAAACTCCCAAGCAGTAGAAAGCAAACAGCTTGCATAGTACAGTAATACAGTGGGTTTGTGCTGGAGGAGGAAAAATAAAGGACTTTTCCTTGAACTTTCTGTTCAGTATATTACTACATTGAGCTGATGTCAGTTTTATTAGGAATTCATGCTGCATGTTGTCTATCTTAAAGTAAGTGCTGAAGAAGTGCTGTTCCCATTCAGAGAATACAAATCCATGCTCCATTTCAATTAATTGTGAAGTAGGAAACTCAGAAATCACAGTGGGTCTGAGAATCTTGTGCCTGTGGAATTAAAATGTACAAAGCAGTCACAGCCTGGGTAGGTTTTTAGGGGGGGTGGAGGTTGGTCACTTTTTGATGTTTTTTTTTTTTTTTCATTTGGGGTTTTTAAAAATTATCATGAGAATACTTAATGACTTAGGACAACTGTCAGTGTCTCTGTTCTAGAGAGGGTGAAGTCTGGGACTGATAAACTATAACCAGGGAAATTGCAATTGGTTTGAGTCCTCTTGAAAGGCTCAGCAAATGCAACACCACTGTGTTCTGTCCTTTGCCTCATTACAGTGCTGCCAGTGCCATGAATGAAGAACTAAAGCAGCATTTATAGGTTATGTCTTTTTCAGATCACAGGAATCCTGAAGAACTCAAGCTAATGCTACACAAGCCTGCTTGAGCCTTGGAAGCCATCCAGAAGTCACAATTGAGAGATTGGGAGAGATTAATTTCATCTATTGCTTCAGTAAAATATCCTGCTTTAGGGTAAAATAGCACTTTTTGACCTCATCCTAGTAAGATTAGACTTTTCCTGGTACCAGAGTTATTTTAACACAGTGAAAGACTTTATTGCAGGATTCAGAGAAGGAAGACTGCTCTTTTCATTTCCTTGGGTTAGTGAGTATCAGTTTAAAACTGTATTCATGTATTCTACAGTAACACATATATACGAGTGCACAAGGCTGGAGCATCACAGAAGGCTCCTGACAAGCCATTGTCAACAGCATGGCACAAACGAAGAGTCAGCACTTTGCCTGGCGGGCAAGAATACAGTTTCACCATCCCAGTGCTTTGCTGTTCTAAGACATCTACTGGGACTCATCCAGTGATCAGACTTTAAAGAAATGTAGTGAAAACCCAGCTTGGTCATGGGAATTTATTGAGGAATCATCCAGATGAAGAGGGAATTTCCTGAAGGAATTATCCATATGAGCCCGGAAGGCTCTAAACAATGTAATAGGTCTTGTTTATTGCTAGCATCTAGGGGATAAATTATCCCCTCAAATAGAAACTAAAGCCATAAGAGGGTAAAGTTATTTGGTAAATGCACCCCAATAAATCAGAAAGAATCATCCTATTTTCAAAAGCAAAGTTATTTTCAGGATTTTGAATTCTCAGCTATAAGTATTCAAAATCATCTAAGAAGCACTTGGAGATCTCCTTAGACATGGTCAGAAGCACAGACCTTCCTGCTGCTCCTGGTTTTGTGACGCTGGTAGCAGGTCACCTTTTATAATTTTCCACCATAATCTTTGTCATATCCTCCACAACTCATGACCCCTCTAAGGCCACCAAGGAACAATACCACAGACAGTTTTCCCTGTAGCTTTCCTTCATTTTTATATGTCATCCTTTATGCTTTGAATGTACTGAGGTGGACTCAAAAGGCAATTACTTATTCCATGTCCTACAAATGTTATACCAGAGCTATGATTCTATTATACAGACATTTCTCCTGCATTTCAATACTTGCAGGTAAAAGAGTGTGTCCATATGAATTACTGCTAATAGTTTTTAGGAATATAACATAACTAAATTAAACAACTATCCCTATAATCAAATACACAATAATCACTATAATTAGTTCTTTTTATCCTTTTTCTCCTTATAATAAAACAAAAAAAGGTCAGGGCTTCTAACACACAAACAAGAATCAACAACAGAGAATATGATCAAGCATGTATGTTTCACTAACAATTTTTAGGCTCAGAGACTAGCAAGTCTGTGGAAAAATCAATGCACAGAACTTGTGGGCACCAGTAGAACATTTCCTGTTGTTTTTCCAAGAATCCCATCATCATTTAATATGTCACTTGCAGGAAATACATGAAAAAGAGTGTTGAAGGCAGCACTACAGCAGTGTGGTAACACCAATACAAATACACAGCATCCAAAGATTATTCCCAAGAACGTTGCTAAACTTAATCAGCAATATAGATTCTGAGAGCCTAAAATGAATGTGCCAAAGTACCTCTCTGCAAGACCATTGCCAGCAGTCCGATTGCAGAAGGCAGGATCCGATAAATTAGGCCAACCTTTTGAAGAAACACTAAGTTTGATATATAACCTGTATCTGAGGAACAACACAAATCCTAGAGAGGCAACACAAGTACTGAAATGAGTATACAACCATGACATAGTAGAGATGTTAGGTTTCCAGAGGACTGGGAGACACCCATGTGTTCAGCTTAGCAGGTACAAAGCACACATATTTTCACTTTGTGCCAGTTATTCTGCATAATAATAATCCTGTGGCCTCACATCTTCAAAGTTTTACTTGCATTTGGAAATTAATGAGTGGCACTTCTGTATCTCACCACAGCATATCCCCTGCACCAGTCAGGAGGGTCTAGAAGCTGGTTGTACTGGCTTGGCACACACTGCAGAAACTCTCAGGTTTCCCAAGCTAAGAGAGAGGACCAATATTTGCTGCAGTAGAGCAGCAGCAGAAAGCAAGGTGGAAAATCCAGCTCAGGCTGTTTCCATCAGGGTTTAATTTAATCCTGTGATAGCACAGTTAAAACTGCATTAGTGTCAGCTACTACTAAGAGATTTATTAGGAAGGAGTGTAAGTGATGCCTCAAAACTGTATCCTCTGGAAGAGGAAAGTACTTGCTAATATTAAGCCCAAATACACCCACAACTGTAAAATGGTCTATAGACAGTAGATTTTTTTTTTTAGAATCGAATTTTAGCAACTTATTTTAGTCTGTGTCAAGCACTCAATGGAGGGGAAGAGATCCCCCACCAAGTATTCCATTAGTAGCAATGATCTCACAATCATATTCCTGCTGCCTAGGACACTGGTTACTCAAAAATACTGAGTTCTGAATACTGAACGAAAACACTGTCACAAAGTGTGAAATAATGGGAGAGAATAAGAAATAACAATAATAAATACTTCTACACGTTATAAGTTTATAAAAAGAAGTCTGAAGCAGGAAGCACAAAGTGCTGTAGAAATGCCCACATAGGAAGACCTCAGGCTTCTACTTTTTATGTCATCTATCTATCCCAAGGGACTTTGAAATCCATAGATTTTATTTAGTATGCAGTTAGGATCATACAAACCACAGTATATGATTTATCCTGCCTTTTTTATTTTTAGAAGGGGGTGACAATGTTGTGAAAGGCAATTACAGGACAAAGAGAAGGGTATCAAGACATCTGCATAACAGATAGGACAGTGCTGTCAGGATTTCTCTATTCCCCTGCAAATACGCTCTAAACTCTTATTAGCTTCTCTGACAGCCACTGCCAGTGGTGTCTGCATGATGCACATATCCAAGAATTCCCCACTGGGCCTGAACTCAGCTGCTTTCCAAGAACCTTATTCTGCCATCCCTTATAACAAATTTCCACTGACACTGCCCCGGCACTCCACTTCAGCTCCTGCTATAGTTTGTCACAATGTGCCTAATCTCAACTAAACTAAGTAATGGTGTTATTCTTATACTTCAGGACTGGAGAGGGCTCTAGTCATTGGGACTGGAAATCTATTTTCCCTTTGTCTCTAAATGCGTTACGCCCTAATTTGGATTTGCTGTAAAAGGCAGTAAGAGACTCAAGATGGCAATAGAGAGCTGGAAAAAGCATATTGCAGGAAAGAACTATAAATATCCCTTTTGTTGCTTAATGTGTTGATAAACCTCTTGCTAGAGAGGCCTCTAGTGTTAATCTGCCCATCAGTCTCTCAACAATTCCCTTCTAAAATTATCAACAAATACTTTTGTCAGTAGAGAATGTTTATTTGCAGTTGCACAACCCTCAGTTTGCAGAATATTAGCTGCTTAAAACATAAGCAAACAGCCACAGTCTAGAAAAGCCAGTACTGTGAAAATTAATGCATAACCTTATTTTGCAGTAAATTTAGGGTTATAAGATTTAGCAACGTGTGGCTAAATGTTGCTAAATCTTGGACATATCAAGTGCCTTAAGGGCAAACATTTTATTAGATTTTTTTAAATGGTGATGAGTGCAAAACATTTCAAGATGATTTTAGAAAACAAACACACATTTTATAATGCAGTTTCTACTTTCCCTTGTGTGGAATCACCCTAAAACGCAAACTGGATGCAGAGTTTCTGAACACACCAAATGACTGCTGTGTGCTCCTTGACAGCTGCTGCCTTCCAGCCCAGAGGCGGCAGCCTGGAAATGATGAATGAACTTATTCATACAGTCAGCAGCTATCCGAGTGTAAGAGATATACCTAATATGCATTACATACATCTGTCTAGAGATACGTACACAGAAGCTAAATTTGATTTGGTAAGCATTGAAAAGCCTCCCAAAAGTAAGGCATTGTAGAATTATCACTACCAGTGTTTCCCATATCGAGTATGTCCAAAAAGGTAACATTTGTAACATTTTATACAAGATTATCCTTAATTAGTGTTTGCCCCTTGTAGATCTTACAATAGTATGCCTCTTTCAGCCTAAGTGACTCCACTGGCCAAAGAACTTGCTGCATTAAAGGCTGCGCCAGAGCTGATAAGGGTTTATCCCTTTACTTCTGTGGACTTCAGATCAAGCCTTCAGCTCCTGAGGAAGAAAAAAATGTTTTTTATAAATAGGAAAGACTGATTTCTGCCTAAGCCGCTGTTTCTGATCAGAATGAACGCTGGAGGCTTTAAAGCTGATTTCAAATTAAAATATCTGTGTCCCCAAACGCTTGCCTAACTTTAAACAATTGCCTGCCGCTGTCTGCTGAGCTGGAGCTGTAGGGGCAGGTGTGCTGAGAACTGACACCTATTTCAAGATCAGAAGAGGGCACTAGGGTTTAAGCTATGTTCAGCATAATCCCAGACAAAGAGGGGGAAAACTCCCGGTTAAATGTGTTAGAAACAGTCTTTTGTTCTCCGGGCTGTCTCAAATGAATGAGGAAACACAGGCAGGGCTGGAAGCCCATGGGACCAGGGGCCATGGCAGCCCCAGGGGCATGTTCAGCCACCAGCATTTACACCAGTTCTTCAAAACTGCAGTAGCCTCACCCAGCTACCACAGTCTTCCCCTCTGTCCCACCCTGCGTGGGCAAAGCTTTGCATGTTATTTCTCTGTTGGAATCTCTGCTTGTGACTTTGCTGGCAGCAAATGGGTATGTCACCAGAATGACAGCTATTCACAGGGACACTGAGCTGCCCAGTCCACCATGCTGAGAACCAGTCAGAAGGGTCAAGAGGTGTCCCTTGGGGGCTTGAGAGATACAGTGAATTTCACACTGCAGCTAAATAGTGATAAACTCCCCCCCAAACACACATAAAAGTCACATCACGTCTCGTTCTTGTTGCAGCTATGAAATAGAGTAATTGTGTTATGATTGTTATTCTCTGTTAAATCTGATTGTGGTATTCTGATACAGCACAACACAAATTTTCATTACACAAGACTTGCTACAGATTGTGCATGTCTGAGTTAAAAATGGAGTACATTCCATGGTGATGGACAGGCTGGGGACAGGAGGAACCATTCAATGATATGCAGCTGTATCATCCAGCTCAGCTGTTGTATCTCCCTCTGCTATCACTAGATAGAGGATTACCTGGAGAAAGAGAACTCAAGCTGTTTCTCCAAAATGCCTTCTGCAGGAATAATTTTCTTCCCATTGGTTCTACAGGAGATTTAGGAAGAACTACAACAAATACTAGCTAAAATGGACATGTAAATATCTACTATACATCAATAAATCTATATAAATCTGAGTGCAAGAAAGAACAGCTCTGCTAGGTTAATCCAAATTACCCTGTGTGATAGAAGATAAATGTAGAGGATTGTAACAGGAGACTAAGTGATACTTTCCCAGGTGTCCTTTCCCAGCTTCCAGCAATTTCTGGTTCAGGGACTTCAAGTCAGATGTTATCTTTTTGTTAAATATCCCTTGGTGGATTTTTCCTGCATGGATTTCCTCTAGAAATGAAGCAAAGACCTAGAGAGCAATACAGTGAATTAATTTTCCAGACATTCACTTATGTTGTCACTGAAGACTGACCCCAAGATTCATCCTTGCCCTGCATATAAGTCAGTCCTGCACAAGGCTGCTGAAGAAGCACCTACTGGCTACAGCTGGCTTTGAGGAATAAGCTGAGCATTTTGTCTATAATGCTGCTCTACTCATCATGTTTCTTCCTTTCAACTGAATATGAAACATGTGAATGTCCCTCCTGAAAGTCCACATTCACCTAAACCAGCCTAATGGAAGCATTTAGCTTTTTCATGACTTGGCAAAATCAGATGCCAGAAAGCCCTTTAAGAGAAAACTCTTTAAAGAAGCACCTCAAGTGCAACCACTGTTTAAAGATACATTTATATTTTACTGAAATGGAAAAGTCAGGTACAGCACAAATAATGGGGAACACTAGCTGGAAAACCAGCAGGATACATATGTACATGTAGCAGCCTTCATTCCACAGACATCAGCTATCCCACAGCCAGTGTAGAATCACAGTACCCTTCTCCTAATTGCATTAACTGTAGCATATATCAAAATACTGGAGAATGCATTAACTAAGATAAATTTCTTAGGATGCAACTTTCCATCAATTTTTAATTGTAAAATAACTATTTGGTTCTATGCACTAAAATAACTGAATAATCTACAGGACTCTCTGGTATAGATTGCATTAGGATTTCTTACTGTTAGCTTGTAATATGTGTACATGTGTACAGCGTTTATATTTAGAAGGCATCTCACAGTAAGGAAAAATTATCCATCAAGTATTATATTATCTTGTGTATATTTCTCTGCAAGCTAGAGGGGGCAAAAATTGGGCTTTATGCCTAGAAATGTTTCAAACAAAGTAATTCAAATTGAATTTTATAACAAGGAGTTTTTGGTACAAGAGGCCATCAGTCTTTGCAGGTTTTTTAATGTTGCATGTCAAAATGTAATATTCCTACCATTTATTTCTACTTTAAGAATTTATTATCTACTTTAAGAAATAATTGTTATTGTGTTCTACTGAAAAGTAAGTGAACAAAACTGAATTTTCTCATGCTGTTCTAATATAGACAAAGACAGAAGGGGACTGGCACATTTATGTGTAAATTAGGGAGTAGCTTTAGCAAAGGAATTACTACATTGGGTAGAATTAAAAAAAAAAAATTTAACAATCAGAGAACAAAACATTTGTGTTTCTGAAGCAGCCTGTGTTCAGAGGTTGTACTAGCCTATACAGTACAGCACCTCCCCACAGAGTAACCCTATGAAAGCCCATCGATGTGCAGTTTTCAAATGTATTTGAGTCTAACATGTGTTTCTGTAGACTTTGTCAAATCCTGTCAGATGACTCAAGACTGCTCTAGCCTCTCCCTTGGACCGAGACCTTGAAATCTTATTCTGCAGCTTTTAGATCACCTTTGCAACCTGTTGTCTCCCAGACAGGTATCTCCCTCTGTTTCAGTGAGAAGGTGCCAATACTAACCTAAAATCTCAGAACAATGTACACATCATTGCACCAATATCAGCACATGAGGAACCCATGTGAACTTGTGAGAAAAGGAATGAAAAGGTAATGAGGTAAAGCTGCTGTACGGGCTGTACAATGGGCTTTGCCAGGAGACCTAAGCAACTTTATGTTGTTTGGCCAGTGAAAACGTGTGCATATGTGCAATATAAGTTAAAAACCAACAGAATATGTAGAATTCCTAAAAATTAAACTTTGTTATCAGGGAACACTTTATCAGAAGTTTTTTAACATGTCACAAATGACTAATGACACTACTGAAGTTTTCCTTACTCCTATCACAGATTGGCTATCACTTCTCTCCAAAACTATCTGCTTTTGGTTTTGTCTTTGCTTCTCAAACTTTAACAGTTGACTGAATAAGCTAAAAATGCAGGTTATCAAACACAAGTATTATCTTTCATATAGTCCATCACATGCTTACAGAAGGCATGTCATTTTTATCTGAGGACTAATATAAGAACCTGTGTCTTACCAGATTCTTCTTGTAGTTAGTAATCACACCTCAAAATTAGCAAAGTCACAAGAGTGCATCACAGAAATGTATTATGTTACTGGACAGCTATTTTTTTTCATGCAAGTTACAGACATAACCACAGAGGAGGGTCTGACCACATGATTAAAGATATGATCTGCCACAAAGAACTAAAAAGGCAGTAACACCCACAAAAATTTACTACAGTTACACTTCAGGACATGCCACCATTGTCTTGGAATGTCTGGATATTTTTGCACAGACAGTGCAGGGGGCATACACCATCAGAAATATCCAAAGGATTTCCATTACCCAAAAAGAAGTAAGAAAATACTTAAGGAGGAGATATTCTTGGCTATAAACATTATTATACTGAGGTGCAGCTCTTAGAATGTTGAAATGGGTCTCCCTGCTCCTCTGGTGCAAGGGTGGCTCAGAGAGAAGGATTCTTGGTGGTACCTTAGGAGAACTGGGAGCTGAATATGAGCTGAAACAGTTAATTTACGACTAATGCCTGCTAGTGATATCAGCAAATGTGCGTGTTTATCAGAAACGTTAAAAACTTCAAGGGCAAACATTCAGAAAGGTGAGAGTCAATATTCAATAATGCCTTAATAAAGCTAGAAAGTCAAGAAACATAAATGAGTATTAATATTATTTTTAAAAGGGAGAAGACCAAAGTTATATTAATGCAGATGTGGAATAAGAAACTCTCACAGCAAATGGAAAAATAATTAGGATAAAAGTGTGGCAGCTTAGAGGGATTGATTTGCTCTTTGAAAGTTAATAATGAAAGACTGTTTTGAAAAGAAAAAACAGGTCTGCTTAAAGGCAAACACTTCTTACTTGTATGTATAAAAACCCGAACAATAATGATGGTGTATTTTGGGGGGAACAGTAATGGTGTATTTTTGGGGAATATAGCATGCCCTAGAAGTTAAATGGGAATAAAAACCACATAGTTTGAAATCACTTTTTGCTGTTGAGATTTTTAGAGAGAGAAGTTACATGTTACAGAAATTCCCCTTTTTCTTGGAAAGGGGACAATGATTTTCCAGATCTTCCTTTAAATTTAGACCTTTGGTATTTTCAAGTATTGAATATACCATCAGGAAGGGTTAGGAGCAATATGCATATACCATCAGGAAGGGTTAGGAGCAATATGCCAGCTTTGCTGATATCATTCCTTTCTATCTGATCAAGCCAGTAACAGATTGGACACAGATTGATCAGGATAAATTCATTTGGAGATCAGCTCTCCCTGGAAAAAAGTGCTACATGAAGTTAAACATAGTTTCATGGTATTATGAAAAAATTATGAAAACAACGCAAAAAAGCAGAGAAATACTTTGAGATACTCAGCATTTGTAAATGAAGGGACTTTCAAAGGAAGTGATAAAAATTAGGCCAGGATTACCCTAACACCTAACACTGAGCCTTTTTAATGTACTCTGTCACCTAATGGGAGAGCATTTCTATATGGATTGCTGTAGGGCAGCTGAACATGCACATATTAAAATTCCCTATGAAATCCTCCCAGTTCTTATTAAAGCAAGCAAAGGAGACATAAGGACATGTCATGGTCTTTTATATTATTCTCTCCTCAGAGCACCGTGGGGATTTGCGGAGTGCTTAGTGCCAGCTTGCGCACAGCTCTCCCTAACAACCATCCAAGTGACCAGAGCATCCTATGACTGTGCCCTTTTGATTCTAAAAGGAGTTTTTCTGAAGACAAAAGAACCACCACCACCCATCCCAAATCCAAAACAGACTAAAACCCTGGAGAATTTGCAAATTTACAATAAAATAAAACCATAGCTAATTTCTAACAGAGCAGTGCTCTCTCTTTTCAAGTTTTGTGTACCAAAGCATCATTCACTTTAATTTCACTATTACATTATAGTTTGCACCACTCTGAACAGAGATCCCAAAAGGATTCAGAAAGGTGTTCATTACTGTGGCCTTTTACATAGTGTGTTCGTTGTGCTTATTTATGTGATTATTGTGATAGAACAATTTGCATGCCAACTATTTTCTACAGTCAATTTATAATCTTATATTTTCATGGCATTTATAATGAACACCTTCATGCAAGAAGGCTGATTTATTTAAATGCACAGATTTTTAGTTTGGGGGACGATGGCTTTACTTTTTAAAATATCAGGTTAAGAGATCTGAAGACCTGAAGAAAAGATTCTTCACCATAGAGCTGCATCATATATTTTGTGGCACTTGATGGACCTGTAAATATAAGGCTGAAGTGTGAAAAAAACTTAAGGAAACAAAGTGCTTTCCCATGGTTTGTGTCATATTAAGCATTGGCCATGACTGCATGCGCAAGGTCTCCACATAGCTGAACATGTAAAGAACAAAAATGCTGATACCCAGTGACCCTATGGGAGTTGCTCAGAGGTACCAATGACAACCTCTGCTCCTTATCTCTTCTGCATTTGTATTTTTGGAGGAAAAAAACCCTCTCAGCTTCTGCTTCTCTGTGGTAAATGTTGAGAAATATGTGTCCACTGCAACAGTGACTAGCGCACAGGCCTGTTCCTCGTGCACAGCACGCACAAAATAGCATTTTATACAATTGAACTGGAGAGTGAGAAGTCTTGCTCAACATGCCTCTTCCTTTAACCACAGAATTTACTGCATGTTACAACAGCTAACAAAATCTTAAATTGCGGTTTTACTGAAATGTACAGCTAACCAACAATCTTCCTGAAAGAAAAAGTGATTACGTAAAGCCATAAAGCATTGCAGCATGACAATGCACACATTTCAGATCTAAAACCTTCCAGGAAAATGAGTAGTTAGGAAATCTCACAAAGACCTTGGTGGAATTAGGACAATTTTTACAATCTGAGGAGCCAGCCTCAAGACTAGAACAGTTTCTCCAGAGGGAAGGCAGTTGGTAGGGCCAGCTTTGTAAGGGAATGCTCATCCATAGCTCAGGAAATGATTTTGGTGAGCCTTATGGGGGAAAAGAATGCTCCTTCCACCCTGCAGGCTAAAATTCTTGTTTCACACACAGCTCACAATAGCCATAAAGGACAGAAAGAAAGCAAGCTGTACTTTCCCACCCGATAAATTCCTGCAGTAATCTCCAGAGTTCTGAATGCATGGAGGAAGTGGTAGTTTCCTACTGCAGGAAAGCAGTTGCAGTAACATTACGGGCTAAATTAATGTAACGTGAACCATGACAACTTACTCCTTAACTAAATGCTAACGTTACCCTGCAGGTCCATGAGATAGTGGCAGCACATGTGCAAGTTAAACATCAAAACTCAGATGAAGTCACCATATGCTTGTCCCCTGGAAGGAAAAGTCACCTTTAAAAAATTATAACTGCTCTTTCTTTGCTGTGCTGTTTGTCTTTGATGCTGGGAAACAGAACATGAAAAATACTTCAGCAATGTAAATCTTCTGAAGCTGAAAACCACTGCTACACTAAACCTCATCTTGTCTGCATGGCACTTTGTTTTATGGGTGTAACAAGATACTGTGAAAATGCAAGCAAACTTGACCTTACCCTCATCTTTGGACTTGCAAAATGATCTCTGCTTGAAACTTCCTCACATTTCCTTTCATGTGCCAGATCAAGACTGAGACCAATCAGATAAAGCAGCGTGTCTTGAAGGCTTGACTCACAGCTGTCCAGACAGTTAACCTTAGCTATGGAAAAAAAAACAATAATCAAACAATCCATTTTCTTTGCAGACTCACGACCGCTATATCACATGATGTGACACTAATTTCCCAACACTGTAGGCTTTGAAGCTGACAACTGTTAAGCCATGATTAAAAATTCCAAATGAATGTAAGTACCTGTCACTCAGATGGGTCCCTCAGTTGCATTGGTGACCACAGGAAAAGAACCAGGGAACCATCTGCCCATTAATGTACGGAGAAGGTGCTGCAAAGACCTAATTACAGGATGAACCAGTTAACTTTCTCAGCACCTGTAGATCAGATGCACAGTTGACTCACAAGCAGCCTAAATTAAATGCAGTTAGTTTTCATTTTACCATTAGGATCAAGGACAATGCAGCAGGTAGAGAAAAAAGCAAATCCCAACCCCCCAAGAAACACTATGGGAAAATTTGCAGACTTGTTTCCAGAAACTCACAGGTCTGTTGTGGTCAGTTTTACTAACTGGTTCGGAAAAATAGGTGGTTGAATCAATTTATTAAAACATGCATCCATGAAACAGCTGTATCAAGAACGCACCAATTATAATAAAATAAATAAGAAGTGTAATTGGATAACATCAGTGCCTGCAGTGCTAATTGTGACTTTTGAAGTAACCTCATTTCAGACAAAAATGACAGCTTCGTACAGGCAGTTTGTCTTTGATAAACATGCTACAGCCTATTGTATGTGTTCTGAATATGCATTTATAATTACACAAATATGCAGTGCTTTGTTAGAAGGACAAAAGTTTGAACTATTGCTGCCTTGATAAAACACTCATTCCAGAACCTTTTTAGAGTCATAAATTCACTTTAAGTAAAATGCAGCTAACTAGAGGTTTTAAAATTGCAATAAATAGATACTATAAACATTAAATACCAAATGAACACACTAAGTAGGAACACTACGGATGATTCAAATGAAGAACTAAAAGCTAGGAAACACATAATAAAATTCAAAACGTTCTCAGTAATTAATAGTAACAGCAAATATTCAAACCAGTTGTTTAGTCTAGATTAAATCCTTATTTGGGACACAGTAGATTAAAAACGCCTTCTGATGTTCATATGCTGGCTTTCTTTCACGGAGGAATATAAGGAATGTGGCAGAAGAATACTGATTGTTTGCTCTCAAACACTTGTATGAGCAATTTTACCACATGAAGAATCCTGCTGAATTTACCAGGACTATTTGTCTACAGGGTTCCTCATGGACATGGTTGTTCACAAAATTTACACCATTAAAGGCTATTAACTCTTTTCTCAATGAACAGGGTCAGTCATTAAGAGGAAGCAAGGAAAAGATTTGAGGAATGTATTGTCCAGTAAAAAGTACAAGTATTAAAATTAGAGATGGTCAGAGATTCTGCCAATCGAGGAGTTGACGAACAGCAAATCAGAAGTGTGTAAATCATTTAGACTTACAAAGTAATAATTTTTTAACACTTTTTTTTTTTTAAATTTGCCCAGAAGAGATGGGCAAAAAAATCCCAGACACAGCAAACATCTGTATCTTGTGAACACCCTTCTTTGACTACAGAGCAGAAACTTCCAGTACAAAACACAGCTTCTTCTTCTCCCTTACCCACACCAGGAAAAGTGACACACAAAAATGTTACAAAACAGACTCCGCTCCTTTGTTTTGGCTTTTAGAAGTCCACGTTAATTTTGATAAAAGCAGGAGCTAAATACTATAGCAGTTCACCCTCAAATTTGTAGAAAATAGCAGCCCTTTTCACTGTCAGACCAATTTTCTCAAGTCACTCTAAATTACCACGGTAGCATATGTTTCTCTACAGAGGTCCTCATGTTGCCTGAGTACCCTGGTAAATTCCAGGACTCTCCTACAGCAGTGGAATTAACAGTGATTTTAAACCCCTTGTAATCCCACTGCCTCAGGGCTCTCTATGTATTATACACATCAGATCTTTGCTGGAAATTTTTCACTTCACCCCCACCCCTTTTTCTTTTAAGCTGGGAGATGTCAATGTTAGCACCGGATGCCTCCTTGGATTCTCATTTCCATGTGCACTCACCACAACTGTTTTCAAGAAAGGGGTAGCAATGGCATGGCACTACAGTAGTTAAGTCAATACGAACTCAGAGTTATCTGATTTTCATGTCTACCTACAGCAATTTGCCTTTATGAATGTTTTCCACCACTGAAAGTGAAATCTGTGTCTCTCAGGAGCAATGGGCTTTCAGATATACAGTTACACCAATTCAAAAACTACTCTCAACAAAGAATATCTGTAGAAACACGACACTGAAATGATGGCATTATAATCGCTGAAAGATTTAAGTGGACATGATTACAGTAATTTATATCTCGATGTGATTACAGTAATTTGTATCTATTAATTAACACACATTTTAAATCTCTTGCCATGTTAACTTTTTTAAGGAAATGATACACTTCAACTTAATGATGTGAAATTCGTCCCAAATGTTACTTTCCTCTTTTCAGTTTTGTTGTGCAACTGTAACACAATCAGAAAACAAAAAGTACCAGCTACAGAAGTATTAAGTTACGTAGATGTGATCAGAATGAAGCCATGAGTATTTCTAGCAGTGTTGAAGGCTTCTTTTGAATGGTCTTCTGCACAAGTAACAAAACTGTTTTCTTCTTTTGACTTCACCTGTCATATAAATGCAGTCAGATTTTGCTTGTGTGTCATTCAGATTCACCTGCATTTCCAAACTACAGGGGAGAGAGGATTGTTAAAGAATAAATATATTGAGCAATTATAATTAATGCCTAGAGTGGAATCTTGCTAAGATAATAATAGAGAACTAATAAAGATAAGTAATAATACCTCTTACTTCACGTGTTGAATGGAATTTGAAAACATGAACAGTAAAGTGCAACTCTCAACAGGCTTCCCGTCCTTCTGTTCTCTCATGTCTCCCTGTGACATGAGGGCTCTCCAAGCCACCACTTAACTATATTCAAAAACTGGAAAAAAGCTGGTGTTGGACCAACTCTGCAGTCTACATTTAATGCTCTCGCTGATATTTAGCTCTTAATGCTGGCCAAGCTTTTTCTCCTAGATTTGGATAATGGTCCCTACCTTTGGAGAAGTTTGTGTAAGTAGTGGTTAGATGATGATGGTAATGAAAGAAAATAAATAACAAACCCCAGAAACAAGTTAGATAAAAAGGTCACACACCAAACAGTGCCAAAGTAAAGTGAATTTACCAGATGATAAAAGAGAGGGGAGGAAAACCAGTGCCAAATCCAAATTATCCCTCGTTAGCACCACCCAGAGCAATCCTTTCCTTCCTAGCGCACAACAGTCAAATGCTGTTGATCTTCCCCAACTTCTAGCTGTTTTCAGGCAGAAGAGAATCAAGTTTCAAGAAAACAAACAGGCCTACAGCCTATGATACATATTCCTGCCTCCTTTCCCTCTTAGGTCTTTGAATCCCAGGCAGGATTAAATTCCATATTTCTCATTAATCATTTTAATGTTTTACAGTTACAGTAGCAAGCCAGAGCCAGCAGTACTTTTGCTTGTACCATAAATTGGCATAATTTCAAAATGGCTGTAATTTCACAAAAGAGGGGGCACACATGATTGGTATTTACTGTTGGCAGCAGTTTATACCAAAGAGACGTTGTGTCAGGACACTGGAATAGTTTTTAAAAATCCAGGAGAGTGCTCTATGCAGCATGCCTTCTAGTAGTTAACTTCAATCTACCAATGTACAACACTGGTATACTGCTGTCTCATAAGAACTGACCAATAAAGCTCAGCTTTGTTAGGCTGACTCAAGTACGAGTCATGAACATATGTATTTTTAACTTAAAAGCTAAATCAGAAGTATTTGACTCCAGATACAGTATGTAAATAAATCTACACAGCTTCTAAAACCAAGTCCAGAAATTATGTGAGGACATGCATGGAGGAAAGCACTAAAGTTAATTCGTGAAAAATTGGCTGTTGTTTTCATTTAAAATAATAGAAAGTTCTCCATTTGTCAGTTTGATAAAATACACATTTAAAAAAGCTCCTACCAGATATTGTTTTTATATGGCTTACTTTTTACAGTTCACATAAAACACATATATGGTTTATATAATTATTTTTCTAAACCCTCAAGGATTTCAGAAAATCCTTTAACAAATTGTCAAAAAATTTAAGTTAGCCCCTCCTGAAGAAATGGCAGATAATATTTATTCATGAGTTATTAGATGTCGGTTCAATACCTAACACCTCCCAATGTTCTCTGCAAAAATGACAGTATTTAGCTGTGTTCTCAGCTGCCCAACTTCCCCTAATTCATTCTAGAATTTCTTACTACCACCACCTACATTATTTATGAAGGTAATACCTTCCTTGAAGCAGAGACTTTGATTTCTTATAAATGTACACAATAACTAGAACAAAGGGGACCCAAACTAATAACAGAAGATTTAATCACAGTAAATCAAGTAAATATTATGGAACACATTTTACAACCGGGTAAACTGAACTGAATTGAACAAGGTGATGGAACAAAGTAACAGCAGACTTGGAAATCAAAGCAAGAAATCTTATCTCACTATTTATTTTAACTAAGCCCACCGGATATAAGCAGCACATATGACATGCTCTCCACTGTGTGCCTTGCTCATGCAGCAGATGTTTCTTAGAAAGAAAATCTCATTGCTGTCCAGAGAACTACTTGTTGCTTAATGTCAACTGACAACACAGAAGTCACCTCCCTTGCTGGAAATGAAGGAGATGGGACAGAAGAGGTGCTGTATATATTATAGACTTCTCCCCTGCCCCTTCCCCAAACTTTTTGAAGAAGAAAAATATTACCTTTGAAATTTATATAGAAGAACATGCCTGTAAGGAAAGAGATAACCCAGCAAGAAGCTACTTGGATTGTTTCTCTAGTTTCTCATCTGTTCAGCTATTAAATGGCCAATCTTTAGTATGCCTCAGAATTTTAGTCATCAAAAAGAACAAGAAACTTGTGATACCAAGATAGGTATTTTCGTTCCTTTTTTTTTCACTTTAAACACCTGACCACTGCTAACTCTTGAAATAGCAGTATGTAACATAGAAATTACCTCTAGCTTATTATTTTTCAAGATGTCTCCGTTTCCCAGCCCACTGAACTCATCTGTGCTGTATCACTTACAAATTCATTGTAAAAGTCATACTGAGACCCTTTTCTCCTCCCATTTACACCATAAGACCAATCAATGCCAATAGACTTATCATGCTAATGACTGTAAAAGATATGCAATCTGTCCCTAGTTGAATAAACAATGACAAAGACAGAAAAAAAAAATCAGTCATGTTGCCCTCACTTTCCCCAAAAAAGCCACAGGAAGGAAGGACTGAAGGATGGACGGAAAACTGCTTGACTTGATACACTAAGGAATGCATTTAAATTAAAACCTGATTATTGTCATAATGCATTTGTACTTTGGAAATCAAATTATTAACTGTATAGAAAGACAACAGAAATGAAGCGTGGCCTAGAAGGGAGTCGTAGAGGCAGCATTCTTTACTAAAACAGCAGATATCTCTGTGTAAAACTGCTATCAGGTTTTGTTTAATTGGGGTTGTTTGTTGGGGTTTATGTTTTTGATTCTTCAAAAGACTTAACTACACGAATTGTATGTGAAATCTAATTTCAGTGCCAATTAGTTTCTGTAGCTTAATGAAAAAATATATTCATAGCAATGCAGATTTCATGTGTTTAGATTTCATTTGAATACCTAATGAGGAAAATGCAGACAGAAAATGATTGTGCCTCTTCAGGTCGAATGGAAATCAGCTAATGTTACTGTAACAGAATTTCTTGGTGGACAGATTTCATAGACATTTCTAATCTATCTGCAACTTCCTGAGCAGGTGGAATGTGTTTGAAATAGAAGCGGTCTTAACTCTGCAGTGCTAATTCTATAAATGTGAAATGTGGGAATGTCTTATTTTTCTGTGTTGTTTTCTTTTTTTTTTTTTTAACAGCGTATACTTGGACATTTATATAATAAATTCCTCTTCCAGGTAAGGCTGACTAATGCTTCTCACTGTCACTGCAAGTAAGAAATAGCAACTCAAATTAAAATGAAGTCTCTAGAAATATAAAATGACCAAGACAGAAGCACTGAAAGTCTGGAGGTAAAAAATACATGGCAGGACAACTTCTTGGATGTATATAAAATGAACTGAAAGAGTTAAATGACACAGGAAATTCTAGTTACTGCAATAACACACAACCACCATGACACACATTTTCCACTCCAAAAAGGGTTTTCTCTGATAGAATCATTAACAGTTACAGTTTTCTTTACCATACCTACCCTTTTCTTTTTTCCTACCTTTAGATTAATGGACATAGCATAAAACATTAATATATCTACATTTTATTATACATTATAAACCCCAAAGATTTTATTGGAAGAGTCTGAGAAAAGATGTGGCACAAGAAAGAACAAAGAAATGGAAACAGATCCCACTCTTGTTCCAAGTAACAAGTGTTTTGTAAGCCAAGGATATAATTCATGTGGAGACAGATCATGCTTCTCTCACCTAAAAACTTGCAATGTTGGTGGTGATTTAATACTTCTAGCCTCAACAGAGCTAGCTGAGCTCAGCAATGTGCTATCTGAAAAGAAAACCACAGCACATATTGAAGATGTTTCATGTAAGCCTCATGAAACCCACACAGCAGACAAGACTCAAAGGCTTCCTTCAACTGCTGTCCTCATGGGACTACTCATATGAGTTTGAAGCCTTGGGTAGATGGGGACACTGCATCTTAACCATTACAATATGGAAAGGAGGGGACAAAAGAAAGATATCCTAGCCATCAAGATTCACGAGGTGGAAAAGCACCAACTCAAATATTAGCACAAAACTCTTGATTTCAGATGTGATGCTAGTTGCATTGAAGTCAGGCAGAAAAAGCAGTAAGCTGAAGCTGCTATCAAAGCTGTGAAGGTAGTAAAATATCACCCCATCATTTCCTATCAAATAAGTTGTCAGACACTTTGCTCTAGAGTCATACAATACTATATGCCTTGGCTATATTTTTTACTATGTATCTTTCCCAAGATAGAAAACTGAAGCCTTAGTGTATTTTTGTATCAAATATTCTGGTGTTTTAAACTTGCGGTCAGTAGTTTAAATGAATACTAGCATTTTAACACAAATAGAAAGACCTTGATTTATTAGGATTTTATCATTAAAGAAAAAGGACCTCAGGGGCTTTCTTAAAAAATAAAAATAAAGTAGTGGCAAATTAAAAATTAAGCATTAACATACTTCTAAATTTGTAAAGTCTAGAAAACGTTAATAAATGCCATTATTCCTGTACTTGCTCTAATGGTTGCTCCAGACATTTGCCCCTTTCAGAGTAAAGACCCTTTTTCAGTGGGTCAGTGCTCACCGACTTCCACACACTCTTCCAGATTCTTTCTCTATATATTTTTATACTTTCTTTCAGCTAATTTGAAAAGTGCAGCCTCAATCTACCCTGAAAGATGAAGAAAACAAAGGGACCTTGTTCACACATCATGTCTCAACCTCTCCCATGGCTACTGTGGTTTGGCCTTCCACAGTGAAACATGGTGAGCAGAGTTGGATTTCCTTGTTTGTGTACTAAAAAAACCCTGCTTCTCTCTGCAACAAACAAGCAGGACTGGCATATTTTTAATGTGAACAAGCAGCCCTAGGAACCTCAGACAACCCGGAAAGC